CCAAGCATTACAAGACAATTACCTACAGCCATCAACAAACGCATTGCACTTCTCTCATCGGACGAACAAACATTTAAGGAATCCACACCTATTTACCAGAACGCTCTTACACATAGTAACTTTGATCATGAATTTACGTACACTGAGAATGCACCGCAACGGACACGTAGGAATAGGCAACGCAACATAATTTGGTTTAACCCACCATTTAGTAAGAGTGTTAACACGAACATAGGACGGGAATTCTTAAGTTTAATTGACAAACACTTCCCGCTACAGCACAAACTACACAAGATTTTTAACAGAAACACTTTAAAAGTAAGCTACAGTTGCATGAACAACGTTAAGTCTATAATCACCAAACACAACGCAAATATAATTAGGAACAGTCAATCACAGAATACGGAAACTGACAACTGTAACTGCGACAACAAAAACACTTGCCCACTACCGAAACAATGCATGACCAACAACATTATTTACAAAGCAACAGTCACAACGAACAACACGAACGACACTAAACACTACATTGGTATGACAGCGACTACATTTAAGGAACGTTACGCTAACCACACTTCATCTTTTCGTCATAAAAAAGACTCAAACAAAACGAAACTTTCGAAACATATTTGGAAATTAAAAGAAAACAATCAGGATTATACCATCAAATGGTCAATTTTGAAACACGCTATTTCGTACACAGGGGGATCAAAACGCTGCAATTTATGTTTGGAAGAAAAATTTTGCATTTTGAAAGACATAAACAAAGACAATTTACTCAATAAAAGAAGCGAAATTTTCGGCAAATGTCGTCACCAAAACCGGTTTCGAGTAAACAAGGTCGTTAACAAAACCTAATGACCCAAGCATGCATTGTTTCACCTAAGCATTGTTTCGCCTACACGCATTCCGCACATTCTTTCTATAGCATAAAAGCAACCTACAATTTCGAAATTATTCACCACCTGATGATTCCTATACGGATGAAACAGACTGTTGTGGTTTTTTGAGGTAAAACGAAAACTATATATATATATATATATATATATATATATATATATATATATATATATATATATATATATATATATATATATATATATATATATATATATATATATATATATATATATATATATATATATATATATATATATATATATGCTTTTATATTACTTAAATTTTAATGGTCTAAATTTTAAGGCCCTGTCACACTATTGCGTATCGTACTAGCGTATGCCAGCGTATGAAAAATCTCACTCATACGCCGGTATACGTTTACATACGCTAGGGGTACGTTAGGCATAGGTTGTATACGTTTCAAGTACGGTCGCATACGGTGGCATACGCTGGCATACGGCGAGGCAGAAATTTTTTAAGCATGTTCAAAAATTTTGTGCGTATTGGACGTATGCTTTATACGATAAGCCGGCATACTCTAGGCACACGCTGAATACGCTAGAGGTACGCCAGATGTACGGTACTCATACGCTTGCATTTCAAAAGATTTTTGTGCGTATGAAAATTATTTCATTAATTTTGATACGCTTCTCATACGTTTTTCTCATACGCAATAGTATGACTGGGCCTTTAAAATAATGATCTTGAATTTAGCAACCAACAGCGGTGATAGCAGAAAATAAAATTACTTATACGTTTGTATTCGATCCAAAACATACATTACCGGAGATTTTAAGAGCAGTCCTATTTTTCTTTTAACAATGTTAGCTGAAGTAGCAATATTAATTTAATTCACATGAAACACCCCAAGCGACTTGAACATTTAATTCTATTCGGGCATGGTCATGAGCCGTGAAAATGATGTAAATACATGGCAGTTTGAACAATTACGGCGTTTTAGTTACAGTTGAAGAGAATGCAAATTATAGTTACCTTGTCTTAGAACAAAGCAGCTTTTGTTGATGAGCATGCATATACTTGTTGTTCTATTCTTCACAGGGACAGGCCTTCGCACCACACTGCTTTGCTGAGTGGTACCTTCTCTACCACGTAGTAGCCACGTAAACGTGTTTCACTAGCAAGCCTCCTACTAAACATTTCAATGGAAACCTGCTTTAACGATCTTCTTCGTGACATGATTTCTCCAGGAGAACAGAAAAACTCTTTTCATGGATCTGATGGGGGGAGAGTATGTTTTTTGAAATAAAACTCGCTCTACCAGACATGAATATGTTAGTATTACTCTTTGGTACTGACCATTGTGTAGACTGTGTAGGTAGCAACAGATTCAGTCTCGGATTGATCATCATTGTAGCCATTGCTGTAGAATAGTTGTCATCCTGATTCGCTCTAAGCTATGTAAAGTATCGACTGATGGGATATTTGAGTGACAGAAATTATAAATAAAAAATTATAGGTAAAATGTCAGAAATTAGGAAAAAATAAAACAAACAATGGGTTATAAAACACAAGATAAGATTGACAAATATGTTGTCCGGAAATATTCACTTTGATAATAAGCCACCGCTCCAACAACCACCCTTCCGTCCACCTACCCATTTTGGAAAAAAACATTAATTAGTGGTGGTAGTGTCTCGGCCTTGATAATTCGGCAAAGTTCATTCAAAGAGGCCTAGCCCCCTGTAACAGATTATTGAATATTTTTATTTTGGATATACGATTGGCAATAAAAGGCCACTCCAAATTTTTTTTCCCATCCAGCTAGCTAAATCTTTATGATTGCACGCAAAAGGGAGGCATGATCCATTTTTGTTATCGACAATACTAGAAATACATGCATGCAACAACCCCTCGCCTATATTTTCCAAACATTGTTTCAACATGAAGTATTCGTAATTACGCCAACACTGAACGCAGGCTCGCTTTGTCATGTCATGTTAGTCATGGCAACACGATAATTAACAATTATTGGATGAGGTTTTTGTGATATGCGGAATTATCAAGGTCGAGGTAAGCGTTATCAGCCGAGCCGAAGGCGAGGCTGATAACGCTTACCGAGACCTTGATAATTTTGCATATCGCAAAAACCGAATTCAATAATTGTTTTATTATACATTTGAAGAATAATAAACATAGTATTTTAAATAATAAAACAATTATTGAATTCGGTTTTTGCGATATGCAAAATTATCAAGGTCTCGGTAAGCGTTATATTCAATATGATTTCTGGCAAAGCTGTTCAATTAAAACGTTTCTATAAACAAGTCTCCGGAAGTCCAACAGTTAAATTAATTACAAATATAAAAGAAACATATTATCGTTAAGATGTTAAGGTATTAAAATATTTACTTGTTAAAGTAAACATTACAATTATGAAATGTACATTCATTTGAAAATTGAAATGTACACTCATTTGAAATGTACACTCATTCAATTTCACGCAACCTAACACAAAATTCAGTTATCTGCTAGCAGATAACTGAATTTTGTGTAGGTTGCGTGATTGCGCGATTTAACTGTTAGCTCTTAGCCAATCAAATTGCTTTTACCAACTACAATGTATAATAATTGTTTTTAATTTTTTGTACAAACCGGGAAAAAATAGATGAAATTTGAACACTTTTAAATACAGAACTATCAATCTCTAAAATATATAAAGTAGGTATAATATTTTGGTTTCTATGGGCTTTATTTTAATGTAAAATTCAAAACGAAACTCTACGTAAAACGTATTTAAATGTGAATTGAAATTGACTGCTTTTTGCCGATATTTATAAACTTCTCAACTCGAGCTTCAACTTATTACTCGCACTTTGAAATGAAACAAATTTAATTCGTACAGGACGCTAATGATGAAACTAATTTGCTTTCCTTTTTATCATGAACTTCTACAAAAGTTAATTTAACTAAGAAACATTCGCAAACAGTGCATAGGAAAGACTTGAACATCAAGAACAAAGTATATATTATTAAATACGAAGTCATACATAAACAATTGAAACAAACTTGTCCTACGATTTTCCAAGCTTTCTTACATGTATTTTTTTATATTTTTGCCTTCTTCACTCCTGGCAAACAGCCATATTTTGAGATCAGTGATGACCACCCACTCAAAACCGTTGGTGAGCGCCCATCATTGATGAACTTTAGACATCGCTAATGCTTTCGTTTCCCCGGGTGTAAATAGCCGGGGGGAATTAGTTCCCTCACACGGCGCTTCGCGCCGTCGGCTCGGGGACAAAATAACCAAAAATACATGCATGAAACGATCCCTTGCCTATATTTTGCAAAAATGGTTTCAACATGAAGTATTCGTAATTATACGCTAACACTAAACGCAGGCTCGCGTTGCTCACGTCATGTTAGTCATGGCAACACGATAATTGTTTCTTTAATTTTTTCTACAAAACCTCCAAAAAATATTTAATGAAACTTCAACACTTTAAAAGACAGGACTATCAATTTATAAAATATATAAAGTAGGTAACTATATTTTGCTTTCTATGGGCTTTATTTTAATGTAAAATTCAAAACGAAACTCTACGTAAAACTTTTCTAAATGTGAATTGGAATTAACAGCTTTTTTCCGACAAATGATTATTGCTCAAATTAGTACCTTCGTCCCGAGCTTACGCCCAAAACGGCGCTCGCGCCGTTGGCTCGGGGGTAATGCTATATATACTTACTTTTGCTATCATCCAAACTTAAACTATATGCACACGGTAAAGTTTTCGAGCCTTTCTAAAATGTCGTTTCCAATTTTGTCCGTTTGACGCTATGTCCACATGGAAACGTTTTCGTTGCATGCAAACTTTTGTCTCGAAAAAAATTCCTTCTCTCGTGGTTTCTTATCACCGTTTTTATTCCACCTGATAGAGTCATTACTTGTCAACGAATTTCTTGAAATGTCAGCTCTGCTCATTTCTTGAAATGTCAGCTCAACACAGAATTTCTTGAAATGTCAGCTCAACACAGAAAATTTCTTGAAATGTCAGCTCAACACAGAAAAATTCATATTACTAGAACACATTGGTATTGAACGAACTAGATACTGTTCCGAAATATCACTTACTCGAACCGTCCTGACCGCGTAGCTCAGTTGTAAGAGCATTGGGCTAGTATTCCAAAGGTCGTAGGTTCGAATCCCACCGTGGCCGGGCATATTTTTCAAGCTCGCCCGGTGTGGATATGCACTCAGAGTAACATCGCAAACATAATATTCACCTGAGTACACAACAACAACACAGAAAAAAAATTCATATTACTAGAACACTTTGGTATTGAAGGAACTAGATACTGTTCCGAAATATCACTTACTCGAACCGTCCTGACCGCGTAGCTCAGTTGGAAGAGCATTGGGCCAGTATTCCAAAGGTCGTAGGTTCAAATCCCACCGTGGCCGGGCATATTTTTCAAGCTCGCCCGGTGTGGATATGCACTCAGAGTAACATCGCAAACATATTATTCACCTGAGTACACAACACCAACACAGAAAAATTCATATTACTAGAACACGTTGGTATTGAACGAACTAGATACTGTTCCGAAATATCACTTACTCGAACCGTCCTGACCGCGTAGCTCAGTTGTAAGAGCATTGGGCTAGTATTCCAAAGGTCGTAGGTTCGAATCTCACCGTGGCCGAGCATATTTTTCAAGCTCGCCCGGTGTGGATATGCACTCAGAGTAACATCGCAAACATATTATTCACCTGAGTACACAACACCAACACAGAAAAATTCATATTACTAGAACACATTGGTATTGAACGAACTAGATACTGTTTCGAAATATCACTTACTCGAACCGTCCTGACCGCGTAGCTCAGTTGTAAGAGCATTGGGCTAGTATTCCAAAGGTCGTAGGTTCGAATCCCACCGTGGCCGGGCATATTTTTCAAGCTCGCCCGGTGTGGATATGCACTCAGAGTAACATCGCAAACATAAAGTATATACTGTTTTATTTGTATGTTCAGCATCACCGATACGAAGTCTGTCGCTCCTACGAAAGCGAAACACATTTTGAGTCGTTCCTATATCATTAACCTTGAAAGGATATTTATTTTGTTTTATTTGTTGCTAAAATTTTTAATTAAGAATTAATGATACCAATGAAAGATCTAATGTTCCGTAAAATAAGAATATATGTAATATTTTAATTTTAAGCCGCCATCTTGGATTTTTGCGTTTCAACGCGAAAATGCTTGTCCGAAAACGTGTTTTAACATCGAAAACGTTGCCATCATAAGACGTCGTTTTCATCTGTTTTCATGTGGAGACAACTTGAAAACGACACTTTTTGAAAAGGCTCGAAAACATCTTGCAGTGTTTACATTTACAGTATTAAATAGTTATCATCGTTTAAGAACATTGCAATGAAAAGGATGGTAGGTAGGTATAAGGCCCGGTTTAGACGCCGTGCTTTTCATGAGCCGAACTTAATTCATATTTTCCTCGAGTAAAATATGCGAACTTCTAATTTTGATTTAGACAGGCGCGCTTTTCGTGAGCCGTACTTAGTTGATCAGCGCTCTTTCGCTTCGAATACTGGGGCGAGCGGCATGTGATAACAAGAATAATGGCGAGAAAATTGATTTGTTATCTCACATTTATGATCTTGGCATTTCTGAGCATTTGTTTGTGGTTAAATTTAGGGACTAAATCAGCTTTTTTAAAAGCTAATGCAAACAAAGCATGATACCTTTTCCAAGGCCGTTAATGGAAATCCCACTACCCGCGTCCAGTTTTCCCCGATTATCCTCCCAGATCCACCAAAACAGATTTTACTAAATCCTTCTAAAAAGAGCTCCACTCCATATTTACCTGACAATTGTTCGTGCGACAATGAGACAGTAAGCACAATTCCTGTTATAATCTCGAAACGAATTAATAAGAAATATAATGTGCGATATCGACATGACTCCATCCGGCCAAATAATTTAATTAAAATTCCTATTAAACACTTGCCGGGTTCCCAACATACGTTCGTTCCCTCCCTAATGCTATCTAATGTTATGTCATTGGTGCCCAAAATAGATGAATTACGCGAAGTTATCCTCAATAGTGATGTAGAAATAGCTTGTATTACCAAAACGTGGCTCAGAGATCATATCGATGATAACGTTGTTAATGTGTCAGGATTTAGGTTGGTTCGCCTTGACAGAATTAACAGTCAACACGGGGGAGTCTGTATGTACGTTAGGAATAATATTCAATACAACATTGTACAAGACCTTTTAGACAGCAATTTTGAAATCGTCTGGGTTCATATTCACCCTACTCGTCTTCCAAGGGGAATTCCATGCATAATTATTGGAACGTTATACCATCCTCCAAGTGCTAACAATCGAGAGATATTAGATCATTTATTAAAATGTCTATCAACAATCGAATCTCGTTTTCCCAATAGTGGTGTCATCCTGCTTGGAGACTTTAACAACTTAAACGTCTCTAGAATCAAACGTAACTTTAGGCTTAAGCAAATTGTCAACTTTCCCACACGTGGCCGGAACACCTTGGACCTCATCCTAACTAATTTGAAAGACTATTATGCTTCCCCCATTAAACTCTCTCCCCTCGGTCTTTCTGATCACGTAACGGTTAAAGTTTTACCGCTCTCCCGAACAACAACATCCAAGTCCAAAACAAGCATCAAAACAAGGGACATTAGACCAACGGAACGTTTAGCAATGAGAACATATTTGGAAGCTGTTGACATTCAAACCTTGATAGATAATAAGATCTCTTGTGAGGAAAAAACTACGATGTTGGAAAAAATCGTTAGCACAGGTATGAATTCCCTTCTTCCAATGAAGAGGAAAACGATCATAGCTAACGAGCCCCCATGGCTCAATGAAAACCTTAAAAAGTTGATACGTGCGCGCCAGGAAGCCTTTTCCTTGGGTGACATGGTTACCTTCCGATTACTTAGGAATCAAGTTAATCGAGAGAGGAAGTCAAGCCGTGCAAAATATTACGATTCAAGAGTTAAACAATTGAAAGAATGTGATCCTTCCGGTTGGTGGAAGGAAATTAAGAAACTTAGTGGGATGTCTGCAGTGTCAAGTGACAGTACAACTTCAATTCTACAACATGTTGTTTGTGACCCAGTCGAACCGACTCCACTTAATATTGCCAATGTTATTAACAACGCATTCCTTGCCTCAATGAGTGACTTTTCTCCATTATCTCCCAACGTCCGTCTTGCCACCGATAAAGAACCCCCATTTACCGTCACAGAGCAATCAGTTTTTCAGAAACTGTTAGCACTAAATCCAACCAAAGCAACTGGGCCAGATGGTATTCCCTGCTGGCTTTTAAAAGAGAACGCCGATATTTTTGCACGACCAGTAATGTCGATTATTAACTGTTCATTCTTGGAGTCTCGCTTACCTCCTTCATGGAAGCATGGATAATAAAATAAATGGATATGAAACTAGCTGACGTGACCTAATGTTTTTACTGGGATTGATGGCGTGGCTGGGTGCCTCAACCTAGTTGAAAACCAAATTCTCAAAAACGGCATGTTTAGCAATAATACAGCTAAACATTTTAGTCAAAGAGCAAATAAATGTAACCACGCTATTCTACGATGAAAACTCTAAGTATTCCCAGTCAATTTTAGCAAATATTTCAAGCACTAAACAGTGAAAAATACATCGCAAATTTCGCAAAAATTTGTGACGCCAATTTCGTAGCTACAAATGTAAAAAAATACAAAACAAAGACGGAAAACATTTACCTTGAATACTTTGTCGTGGCTTAGGCATGTTTTTAAAACAATTAGACCAGTTTACGCTTCAAGATCACCCTTTTAAAGTGGAAAATATAGCAAAACAACAAAAATGCCGAGAACTTTGGTAACATTCGCAATACGCGTGACGTCACGTTTTTCAACAAGGATGCAGTCAATGACGTCAGAAGTTTCCAATCCATTTATTTTATTATCCATGATGGAAGGAAGCCGATATAGTACCAATACCTAAGCAAAAACCTGTCAATGACGTAAATAAAGATCTAAGACCAATCTCTCTGACTCCAGTGCTCTCTAAGGTCGCTGAGGAATACGCAGTTGAATGTTTTGTAAAACCAGCTGTATTGAAAAAAGTTGACCCACAACAGTTCGGTACATTACCTGGCTTGAATACCACCTATGCTCTTATTAGCATGCTACATAAATGGAAATGTGACACCGATGGTAATAGTGTAACAGTGAGGATCGTATTGTTCGACTTCAAAAAGGCCTTCGATCTGATCGATCATGATATTTTAATTCAGAAACTAGTGTCGTACGAAATTCCAAATAATGTTGTCAATTGGATAATAGATTTCTTGTTGAACCGCAAACAAAGAGTTAAACTCTGCCAAGATTGTGTTTTGGAGTGGCGCTCGGTCCCCGCCGGTGTACCGCAAGGAACAAAATTGGGCCCATGGCTGTTTTTAGTCATGATTAACGATTTAAATGTCTCTAATGATGTGATGTGGAAATATGTGGACGACTCAAACATCTCCGAAACTGTTAAAAAAGACGAAGTAAGTCATATCCAATCAACCGTAGATGAGTTCGTACGCAAGTCCAAAACCGAAAAGTTCGTGCTGAATGAGCGCAAATGTAAAGAAATGAGAATTAGTTTTACGAAATCGGAAAAAGTCTTTCCACCCGTTACGATAAATAACGCCCCCTTGAAATTGTCCCACATGCCAAAATTCTGGGCCTGAATGTATCCGACAACTTAAAATGGAATTATCATGTTAGCGAACTCGTTAAAAAATCTTCAAAAAGATTGTACTTCCTAACTCAGTTAAAGCGCGCCAAAGTGGGTTGTTTGGAATTGGTACAATTTTTTAAATCCTGCATCAGATCTTTAATTGAATATGCTTGCCCAGTGTATCACGATGGTCTCCCAACGTATCTTTCGAGTGATCTCGAAACTATTCAAAGACGAGCAATGCGAATCATCTACCCCACAGAATCTTACGAAGATGCCCTACTATTATCAGGTCTAACTTCCCTATTCCTACGGCGCCAACAGATTACTAACAAAGTCTTCCTAAATATTATGAACGATGATGCACACAAATTACACGAACTACTGCCTGCTAAAAACAATATCTCGCTTAATTTACGGAAAAAGTCGAAATTCAATAACCCAAGAGTAAAAACGAACCGTTATAGAAATAGCTTTATCATCAGTAATTCAATTAAGGCATAATTAACGATAGTATTAGGCAATCTAAGTATAAACACGATCAGTTCAAGAACTGTTTAAACAATGAACCATTTCAGAAATAGTTTTTCCCCGAGCCGGCGGCGCGAAGCGCCGTGCGAGGGTACTAATTCCCCCCGGCTATTTACACCCGGGGAAACGAAAGCATTAGGGAAGTCTGAAGTTCATCAAATATCGCGGGCGTGGGTCACTGTGCGTGTTTCGGTGGGTGGTCATCATATGGTGGTCATCTTCACTGATCTCAAAAATATGGCGGACTGTCATGAATAGCGAACACTGATTGGTCAAATTTAAAATTTGTTGTTGTACGACGAATGACGACTTCAACTGACAGATACTTCATGAAAATATTTTGCTTTTTGCACTGCAGTATTTTGTACGTTTGCAAAAAACTTTGACAGCTTTCAAAGCAATTTGCTCTATAAAGAGTTTAATAAAACAATTATGGTATCAAATGCCAATTGAAAAGATATGGACTACTGTATGGAGCCAAATGAAGAGCGGCAAGGAAACGAAAAGAAAGCCGAACGTCTCGCGAAAAGGAGGGAGCCAGCGAAGACGACAACGTTTGCTCGAGGAGACTGCTGAGGAAAGAGAAGCTCGCCTGGGAAAGCGTAGAGAAGTATGGAAAAAAAAGACTGCTGAAGCGAAAGGTATTAAAGCAAAGGCTTGTCTTCACAACGCTATGTACCAATGATACTGTAGCTATACAAGTTTAAGTATGATATTCGACCCTCTATATTCGACTATTTCTTCACAATTTTCCAATAAAGAGTTTGTCATGACACGCTCAAGTCAGTATAACCAGACTGTATTTTATTTATATCAGTTATCACAGCCACAGGCAATTTTATGCTGTCAAATACCGTCGGTGGCAACTAAGGGTGAACAGTTGCAGATAAAACATTCTCTATTCTCATTAAAAAGCCTGTAAAAGTTTCCAGTAGGTCTCTAGCCCAACAAGTTCAGACAAAGTTTTGTTACTTATTTTTATTGCACACATGGGAAACAACAATTAAGTGTTGTTGTTCTTGACAAACATTGAAGATTCTAATCACGCGAATGTTTTTATGAGCGACTGTTCATCGTTAGTTGCAAACGACGGTACAACATACTATGAACATTTTTCCGACTGTGACCGAATGTGCAACGATATATTTTTCAAAGTTGTTAACAATTCCTAAAATTTGTTTATAGTAAAACAGCCTGCTCAGCACTCACTACTCACGATGATTTCTTTAGAAATGCACTTACCAGGAAAGGAACTGATTCTAAAATATGTAAAATTAAAAGCATTGGCTATTACGATGTGAAGACAAGGTACAAACTTTTATAGTTGCTATTTGTTATAAATCCTATAAATAAACCGATTCAACAATAATTTTGCCTCGAATTTGCATATTCTATGCTGCATGTTTATATTTTATTTTTATAGTATAAAAATAAAATTGTAATACTATGAAATAAAATACATTTCTGTTTATTGACCAGTACTTATTTAATGTCTTCTTCATCCAGCGGTCAGAGTAAATTTCTACTTCTAGCAAGTAAATATTTGACAAACAGTCTGGAATAAGCACAGGACTTTTAATGCATCAGCCAAATCCAAGTGTGCCCATCCCCCTCGCCCAGCCATTTTCCTGTAAAGCACATCCCGGGGGTTGGGCATTTCCACTCGAACCTTAGCCCCGGCGGGGCATTTGAAATTAATAATTTGGATTCTTGCACTTCACTTGTGGAATTAATATTAGAATGTTAGGGTTTGTAATGCAAGTGAGAATATATACATGTATATATTTTGTAATCCAAGTGAGAATATTTTGTAATCCAAGTGAGAATATACAAATGTACCGGTATAGTACATGTATATATTTGGTGTATATATTTTGTAATCCAAATGAGAATAGTTTGTAATCCAAGTGAGAATATGCAAATGTATATATTCTCACTTGGATTACAAACCCTAACATTCTAATTTTAATTCCACCAAGTGAAGTGCAAGAATCCAAATTATTGAAGTCCACCTTATCACAACCCGCACACCCGATTACCTAAATATACATGAACTTACGGTTAAAGCTCGACAGCTGGTCTCTTGTAGCTCAGTTGGTTAGAGCGCTGCACCGGAATCGCAGGGCCGTAGGTTCAATTCCTACCAGAGGACCTTGTGCTGCATTTTTCGCAGTCGTTCCTTGTTAGGTCTTAAAATGTATATATTCTCACTTGGATTACAAACCCTAACATTCAAATATTAATCCCAACAAGTGAAGTGCAAGAATCCAAATTATTGAAGTCCACCTTATCATAACCCGCACACCCGATTACCTAAATATACATGAACTTATGATTAAAGCTCAACAGCTGGCCGAGCTGTAGCTCAGTTGGTTAGAGCGCTGCACCGGAATCGCAGGCCCGTAGGTTCAATTCCTACCAGAGGACCTTGTGCTGCATTTTTTGCAGTCGATCCTGGTTAGGTCTTAAAATGTATATATTCTCACTTGGATTACAAGCCCTAACATTCTAATATTAAGTCCACCAAGTGAAGTGCAAGAATCCAAATTATTGAAGTCCACCTTATCATAACCCGCACACCCGATTACTTAAATATACATGAACTTACGGTTAAAGCTCAACAGCTGGCCTCTGTAGCTCAGTTGGTTAGAGCGCTGCACCGGAATCGCAGGGCCGTAGGTTCAATTCCTACCAGAGGACCATGTGCTGCATTTTTTGCAGTCGTTCCTGGTTAGGTCTTAAAATGTATATATTCTCACTTGGATTACAAACCCTAACATTCTAATATTAAGTCCACCAAGTGAAGTGCAAGAATCCAAATTATTGAAGTCCACCTTATCATAACCCGCACACCCGATTACTTAAATATACATGAACTTACGGTTAAAGCTCAACAGCTGGCCTCTGTAGCTCAGTTGGTTAGAGCGCTGCACCGGAATTGCAGGGCAGTAGGTTCAATTCCTACCAGAGGACCTTGTGCTGCATTTTCCGCAGTCGTTCCTGGTTAGGTCTGAAAATGTATATATTCTCACTTGGATTACAAACCCTAACATTCTAATATTAAGTCCACCAAGTGAAGTGCAAGAATCCAAATTATTGAAGTCCACCTTATAACCCGCACACCCGATTACCTAAATATACATGAACTTATGGTTAAAGCTCAACAGCTGGCCGAGCTGTAGCTCAGTTGGTTAGAGCGCTGTACCGGAATCGCAGGGCCGTAGGTTCAATTCCTACCAGAGGACCTTGTGCTGCATTTTTCGCAGTCAATCCTGGTTAGGTCTTAAAATGTATATTTTGTCACTTGGATTACAAACCCTAACATTCTAATATTAAGTCCACCAAGTGAAGTGCAAGAATCCAAATTATTGAAGTCCACCTTATCATAACCCGCACACCCGATTACTTAAATATACATGAACTTACGGTTAAAGCTCAACAGCTGGCCTCTGTAGCTCAGTTGGTTAGAGCGCTGCACCGGAATCGCAGGGCAGTAGGTTCAATTCCTACCAGAGGACCTTGTGCTGCATTTTTCGCAGTCGTTCCTGGTTAGGTCTGAAAATGTATATATTCTCACTTGGATTACAAACCCTAACATTCTAATATTTAGTCCACCAAGTGAAGTGCAAGAATCCAAATTATTGAAGTCCACCTTATCATAACCCACACACCCGATTACTTAAATATGCATGAACTTACGGTTAAAGCTCAACAGCTGGCCTCTGTAGCTCAGTTGGTTAGAGCGCTGCACCGGAATCGCAGGGCCGTAGGTTCAATTCTTACCAGAGGACCTTGTGCTGCATTTTTCGCAGTCGTTCCTGGTTAGGTCTTAAAATGTATATATTCTCACTTAAAATGTATATATTACAAACCCTAACATTCTAACCCTAACATTCTAACATTTGAAATTAAGGATTTGGAGGTTTTGCGATCACCGACAACTTGATCATTTTATAAAACAAAACACTTCTATCTCCAACTTTTACAATCACTGATAAATTGATAATAATTTAAACCAGTCTAGCTGTAGTTTAAATAGAGAATAATACATGGGTGCACGAAATAGCAGATTTATTTCGAGTGTTGAACATGAGTGCGCAGCGAACAAGTGAGCGCAGCGAACGAGTGAGATATCATGTTCAACACAAAAAATAAATCTGGTATTTCCAACCACCCATGTATTTTTCTGTTTATTATATAAAGGACAGTCTTAAATGAAAACAGAAAAGCGATAATTGAAAAGGCGATAAATTTTTACATGTGAGATTATCATGAATAATTTCACATCTGAGATTATCATTTTTGTCAGTGCTCGAAAACTCTGGAAAACACTATACTTTATATAATAAAAATTCATAAATTTGAACCATGCTAGAGCATGACAACAGCAAAATGCTCTATAGTATGATGCACAATATTTTGGGAGGTGATCGAAATACACGAACAATAAATCAGAGAGTGTTTGCTTGGAACTCACTGGGGGGGGGGGGTGCAACACTCCTGATTATTGCTCATGATGAATTTCAGGTAGATTTCCAGTGCACTTTTAGTACGTACATTTAAGTAGATTTGCAGAAGATTTTCAGGGGAATTCAGGTAATTCTCAGGACATGACTGAGAAAGTGAATTTGGAAAACAAGTGTATTTTCGGAAAAATTATTATATGTCCTGAAAATTTTTTGTACATCTGGAAACTTTTTGGTAACCCCCCCCCCCCCCTCTATCTAACCACACACACACCCTGCGACGAAGTGCTCGCAACGGCACTGAGTATATATCTTTTGAAAACAGGCGAGGGGTTATTGCATGCATGTATTTCTAGTTTAAGCAGTAATTTCACACTTTCAAAAGCTTATTATTCGAAGGGTATTCATGTAAACGTCTTCAAACTTTGTATACTTACTAATGTTGAGGGCATGTAGTAAAACACTGACTACCGGAACACCGGAACACCACCGGAACACCGCCGAAACACCACCGGAACACCGGAACACCACCTAACCCTAACCCCAACCCTAACCCCCAACCCTAACCCCAACCCTAACCCCCAACCCTAACCCCAAACACTCACCCCAAACAAAATGGTGGTGTTCCGGTGTTCCGGTGGTGTTCCGGTGATGTTCCGGTGTTCCGGTAATCAGTGTTTTACTACATGCCAGTGTTTTGGTTTATTCCTTAGTTTGGGCAGTTCTAACACTCATCCCCAGTTCACTCATCAACTTCAAAATAGCTAATTGCACAAGCGTATTAATTAAAAGTATCACCGCGATACCTTATATAGCTTTAAGATGTTAGCCTCGTTCACTTTTCTCCGCCCCTCTTCGCCAAACAAAGAAGGCCACAAAGCGTACTCTGGATAGGGTTAAATTGTCTTGACGTAGATGTTTATTTTTAAAATTTTTATTTAAAGATGGTGGGGGAAAATCATGCTAATTATGCCTATCATTTATTTGTATATAATAGAAGTAAAAAAGAAACACTCATAAATAACGAACGATGGAACAATATGTTTTTACGGGGAAATTCGTGCAGTCAAGTGAATGATCATGACTTGCGTTGAAACCGAAAGTTCCGATATATATAATTACTGATTTTAAAAAGTATCAATATTATGACAAATGTGGCGCAGATAATTTAATAATATGGTGTTCAAGAATATTCGATTTGATTTAACGGCACCATTTCACAAAATATGCATAAAAAATTTTAATTATATTTTTATTAGCAATGATATTCGAAACAAAATATGTATTTTGATAAATACGACTCATTCAAAGTTGTATAGTTAATGCACAATATATACACTCAACACAGTCACACACGCTATTTAATACACATGATATATATCGTTCCGGCTCGAATATATGATACTTGGCAGCTGTTACACCGATAATAAACACAATTACAACAAATGACAGAGGCAAAATGTATTCTATTCATTTCTACATACTGGGTTATTCTGAACATCGATAAAAAACACCCAGCCTTGATTATCATATATTTCCATATTATTCTTGCCAGAAGTGTTGCTGAGTTTACAGTTTACTGATGGACTGTTTGTACCATATTTGTATTTAAATCCAACACATGATAGCTCTTCAAGGCAGTTAAATGAGCGCTCGAGTTGAGAATGAACATTTTGAACGGATATAATATCTGCCAATGTCAACACTGGAACTATTAAAATAATTGTATCAGTCAGTCAGACTGGTCACTCAGTCACTCACTCACTCAGTCACTCACTCACTCAGTCACTCACTCACTCACTCACTCACTCACTCACTCACTCACTCACTCACTCACTCACTCACTCACTCACTCACTCACTCACTCACTCAACCGTCATGGAGGACGGACATGAAATTTCGAGCTCCGCAAGTTTAAGAAAAAATAGCCGACTTTTGGCAGAAACTCTGTCACAGTTAGGTTCTGACGATTGGGGAAATATATCAGATATACCATTAGTTGAAAACGTGGCTAACGAAGGGCAAAACAGCGACGAGGATTGCGAAATCGTAAAATTTATCGAAGATACCGAGAGAGATATTGCAGCAAAGTCGACTGAGCACGTGAAGGTTGTATTAACAAGAGACAAAACAGCAAACCTTTATAAAAGAAGAGAGAAATCTTGGACTACTGTAAAAGTAAGTTTAAAGAGTGTCCAAAAGAGAAACTAGTAAGACGATTAAAGGAACAATCCACTAAAAATATATTGAGGTGCAAACAAGACATTGTACTTACGTTAGGTTACTTGCGAAGTTTGAAAGGACAATTCTTTTTAGGTAAGGAGGAATTGCTCATCGAAGTTTGTAAATCCCTTATAGAACGACGCCATGTCGTCTTTCTCAAACAGACGCGTAAGACCAGCCAAGGCCAGCGGTATCACAAAAAAATGACGTCACTGAGTGCTTTCATCCTTCGCGCGAAACTTCAAAAACTTTCATTATCACTAATCTAGAAATGAAGGTTCTTTATTTATAGATCAGTGTTTCATTATACTGTGGTAGTGTTTACTGTTTAACTATAATTGCGTTAAATTCACTGTGAAATTAGCAAAATATCTAAACAACAAATGAGTTGTTGAACTTGCGCGGGTTGTCCCTCCTGATTTTTCGCAACGAAATGCTTTTAGGTGGGCCACTTGGCAGTCTATGATAAGTTATGTCTGAGCATTTAGTCTTTCTCCAACCGTTTATACATTTCCGAACCATACAGTGCGGCATTTTTGTTAATTTCACAATCGATTAAACACAATGTATACAGGGTGTATCAAAAAAAAGGAGACCTTTAGAAATCAAGCATATTGTTAAAATTTGAATGCCTTTTCAATTGCACATATGCTGAACCGTAGTGCGTGAAATATTGATGGATGCATATATTAGAAAAAGGAGACCTTTAGAATTTGAAATAACGTTTAAACAAAAGATTGTCTGCTCTTGGGATCAATCTGCTATGTGCTTAGCAAAGTGCTCCAGGATTCAAATTATAACAATGGTTGATTTCTAAAGGTCTCCTTTTTCTAATATATACACTCCATCAATATTTCACGCACCACAGTTCAGCATATGTGCAATTGAAATGGCATTCAAATTTTAACAATATGCTTGATTTCTAAAGGTCTCCTTTGTTTTGATACACCCTGTAGTTAAACAGTAAACATCGCGCGAAGGATGAAAGCACTCAGTGACGTCACTTTTTGTGAAACCGCTGGCCTTGGCTGGCCTTACGCGTCTGCTTGAGAAAGACTTCATGGATTGGCGTCGTTCTATAAGGGATTTTACAAGCTTCGATGAGCAATTCCTCCATACCTAAAAAGAATATTGTCCTTTCAAACTTCGCAAGTAACCTAACGTAAGTTCAATGTCTTGTTTTCACCTCAATATATTTTTAGTGGAGTTTTCCTTAAATAGAACTGGCGGCCGATCTGCCAACAAAAAGCTTGCATGTGATATTATAGCCGTGATAACCGTTTGCATGTGATATGATATTACGGCAGAGTTTAACAATATGTTTAGAAAACCCCTGTGTGATATATATATAGTACACAGGGTTTTCTAAAATCATTAGATAAAGAAGAGACAAAGCAGCTTATGACATTTGTCGAAAATTTTGATGTCAAGGTGAGTGAACTGAAGGCGGTTTTGCAGTCCTCGCACGAAGCTCCTCGCAGCTCGCTGCGAGTGCTTGCATCCAATTAAAATGGGAGAAACAAGCAAAAATTCGATCCCTCGAGTCTGAACTAGCATCATTTCGAGGTAATTTTAAAGCGAACCTTGAAGATACGAGGGGATAATTGAAAAATTATGAAATAAAACTTGTCGGGCAAGCTGAGAACGTTATTAAACTTGAGCAAAAAACTGATAAAATATGCAAAGATCTAGAACGTATTAAAAAACAACAAAGCAGACGCATCGAGGTAATCGATGCGGAACGTTCAGAAGGGAGTTTAGATATATTATATTCGAACGCAGTTAAGTCTACAGAGGCTAATGAATCAAACGATCAAACAGTCAGTGATATAATTTACATGGAAGTCCCACAAACTAAGACAGCTAATTCCAACTCTGTGACAAACAAAAAAGCTAGTTCAATTACTTCTATAAACAATATAAACAAAAAACCCCAACAAAAGAATGATCGATCAAGTACATCGTATGCAAATGTGAGTCAACGTGAGTCAACTGGCTCTGAATTGAGTAAACAAGTACAACAATCAGAACGCTCAGTCACGCAGATTGAGACAAATAAAGCTAATAGTAACATTGATAATACTAATTTTGAAGAAGACCGAGAAAGTCCAGATACTGAGAAAGAAACAACTGATTTTGTAAGAGTACAGAGGCAAAAGATTAAACGAATTTACATCCGCGGTGTACGTGAAGTTACAAATGTAATTAAACAGTGCATGCAGGAAAAAGGGATATTTCCAACTTTTGTCAGGCTTTTCAATAGTAAACGAAAAGGCACTGTTGCAGTGCGAATCAATGTAAAGAATGATGATTTTGAACGACTTTTGGCCAGAATATGTTTATTCTAGGCCCTGGCTTTCGAAACAAAACTGGATAAATAAAAATGAAACAAAAGATAGCTCATAAACAAATTACATAAAGCTTGGCTGTTGGAACTGCAGCGGAATATATGGAAGCTATATCTATGTAAAGAAATTACTGCGTGAATTAGACATCTTTGCAATATGGGAGCACTGGCTCTATCCAGATGAGCTAATCTTTCTAGACAGTTTAAATGACGACTTTCAGGTTTTTTCACAAAGTAGCTCAGATAATAATCTGAATGAACGTTGGAGAAGGGGACAAGGGGGTGTTTCTTTATTTTTAAAGAAAAGTCTCAACGCACGCGTATTTGAACACATCAGTGATCGAATAATTACGCCGTCTTTCAAGCTTGCGAACACAAAAGTCGTCGTTGTGGCAGTATAATTTCCTTCAACGAACCGAAGTTTAGATGAATACATGAAAACATTAGAAACGTTACAACAAATCTGTCTGCCATATAAAAACAATAAAACAAATTTGATTTTGCTTGGGAATTTTAATGCACATATCGAAGAAAATAAAGTAGGCCAAAAATGGAATAAACGAGGCACGAAATTGCAATCGATGTGCAACAAACTTAAGTTGGTTCCTGTGAACTTATCTCCACTCTGTGTCACGCAGAGGAAATTCCATCATTGACTAGACAATCTTGAACAAGGACCTGATGCAATACATGGAGTCTGTGCAAGTAGTCAATGAACATCCGGATGATTAGGCCTATAATTTGCCATTGACAATCAAACTAAGCACAACAATTACGGAAAATTTCGAAAGATATAAGAATGAAGTTAACCAAGATTACATGCATTAAAAAAATTGTTGGAAAAAATTGTTCTGCTGACACACTAAATATTTACAATTATAACTTGTCAACCTTCAGTATCTGAAATTCTGAACGACGAATTGAATTATGTAAATAATCTGTATATATGATGAACTTTGCAATGCAATAAAAAGCGCTGACGTTGTCTTACCGAGAGTTAAATACAGAAAGCATGTAAAGCCTTTCTGGAATAGCACACTTAAAAACTTAAGAAAGGCGGTTACGGTGGTAAGCTTGGAGTGGATAGGGAAGGGATCCCCAAGGTTCCCGGAGAATATTTATTACATGCAATCCAAAAAATCTAAATGCAAATATAGAGGAGAACAGAGACGATCAGCCTGGGAATTTGAGAGAAAAGAATTTGACGAATTAGCATATTCAAACGAGATAAATCAGGAAAATTTTTTGAGATTGTTAAATAACAGAGCACGTAAAAAAATAGGGAAAGCAAAATAACAGTTTTGGAAAAGGATACAAAGGTGTACAGCGATCCACAGGTAGTAGCTGATCTTTGGCTGATTATTATGAAAAATTAGCGACACCCTCCAAAGATAAACAATTTGACAAAATGAACGAGAAAGTTATGGAAATTTTACAATGTTCGAGTTTAAACATGATTATATATTCAGTACCCCGATAACAACTGAAGAAATAGATACAACTGTTAAGAGGCTGTCTCTGTAAAAACCGGGCACCCAGTTCTGGAAGGAAATATGAAAGTCTTCAAATTTTTCACAATAATTTTCCTTTCAGGTACTTGTATGAAAAAAGAAATCGGTTTGCGTTAAAAAGCTTTTTTTGTAAAATTTGGCCCATCGATATTTTACACCTTGACGGGTCCAAAATGGCGGCCTGAAACTGCCGCAAATAGCAGATTTTCGTACGACTCTCGCGAAGCAAGTAGGTAAGTGAGAGTCTTATGTATCAAAATATTTTAACAATCAGTGGTAATAGTTTCTTACAACAAAAAATTAGGAACATTTATCCAGGATTTGAGGAGAAATAATTTTCTGAAAAGATACACTTTTACTAGTTTGCAAAGTCGCACATTATAAGACAAATTAAATAGCAATTTTCGTAAGTTTGGCACCTTATACCAAGTACACATTACTACCATTGTGAACCTAGAGCTGTGTTTTTTTAACGGGAAACGTAAAATATTTGGGCACTTGACGGGCATAGCCACAAATCATCTACAAAGTTTGATAATTTTCCTGTAATTGACGAGTGACGACGCATGCGTTGCTAACGTAATTTTTCTTGAAAACTCTCACCCAGCAACATTGCTGGAAAAAATAACTTAAAAGTCAACTTTTATTTTGCTTTTGTTTATTAAACGTTTCGCAATTAATACGCAAATATTTTTTCTGTCGCGCTTGGTCATTTATTTTTCTATTTATTTTTACCGGTGGTTCCATGTTCATTGCAGGGGCGTGCTCAAGTTATGAATATCTTTAATCGATTAGCAAACGGCTTGAAATATCGATCGGCGAATACAGGCATTTGTTTAAACTGTAAAACTTGTAACAATCTTTATATCCTTTCATAAACAAAGATTACAATTCTGCAAATAAGTTGCTATATTAAATAAATGTGAAAATGTATGCTACATGCTAATTAGGTCAATTTCTCTGCTGTCAATTTCTCTGCTGAATATTTTGACGCGGGGTATATCAATGAATAAACAATCGCTTTTTACACGCCGCCTGTGGAAAATCAGCTTCGGTTGACAGGGTTAGCGTGGGTAAATAAAGTTTATCTATCTATGTCAAATGTGACGTATTAAGCTGTTATATTCACCTACAGGTGAATATAACAAAACCAAAATTTACAGAATGGCGGCTAGCCGTTTTGTGGAAGTTACTGATAAAGAAATAAGCGAAATTAAAATAAATTCAGTCCTAAAAAACACATAAGGCTTGTGTAAAAATGCTAAAACTCAGGCTCAGTGATTATCGGGGAATATTCACCTCTTATAAACACACGCCTATTATTACATTCCACAAACTTTTGGCATTCGTCTGAAGTACAAATTGGCACTATTCGTGGCAACAAAGCTACAACCCTACAACTTTACAGCTCTAGAACTCTACAGCCCGACAGCTCTAGAACTCTACAGCTCTACATCACTACAGCTCAGTCCACAGCCCTACAACTCTACAGCCCTGTGCCTTTACAACTCTACACTTCTACAACGCTACAGCCCTACAACTCTGCAGCCTTAGAGCTCTACAACTCTACAGCCCGACAACTCTACAAGTCTACAACTCTAGAACTCTACAACTCTACAATTCTACAGCTAGCTCTAGAGCTCTACAGCTCTAAAACTCTACCGCTCTACAACCCTACAACTCTACAGCCCTATTTTATGGATTTCTTTTGCAAGCTTTAGCAGAACAACGTGGGAACCATTCACTTTTTTCTTTTTGGATAGATGAGTTGGATACTGACACGAACGAAGAGGACGCTATTCCTTCCCCCAATGCATGACGAGGGCAAACCCCCATCTTCTCCAGTTGACTCCGGAATATCAAACAATCCAGCCCTGGCTAAGATTAATTCATACTCTTCGATATTTTCCCAACACAAGTGGCAGCTTGAAAGATGCCCGCGAATATCGTCTTTACATTTTGTCAACATACAGTAACATTCTCCACACTCACAAATGACTGCCGCATTCAGATTTTATACGAGTGGAAAATTAACACATCGAATTTGTAGGGACCGGTCATTATTTATGGCGGGGGGTGGCACCGAAGAGAAAAAGGTTGGGTAAACAAAATTTTGAGTGAGTAAAAGGTTGGGTAAATGAAAAACAAAACAACTCAAGGGTTGGGTAATAAAAATTTACTGTCATTTCCAAAGCATGACCCACTGAAATATTGGAGACTGAAAAGCAATGTCAACAGTCATTTGTCAATACAATATGTGAATCAATCAGAGTCACTATCTTGATCATAGTTTGACAAAACAAATTGTGTTCCAAAGAAAGTACATGTGCAGACAACATGAAACTTTAGACTGCAGAACATTTCACAAGCCGTTATCAAACTCATGTCACTGAAGTGATAGAGGACATGTATGAGAACTGAATGGTATCCTTTTGTTAAGTTTTTGGCCAGGGGCGGGTAGTTATTTTTTAATTGATATTTGAGGTTGGGTAATCAAATTTTTGTCTTTTTAATGGTTGGGTCAGCAAAATTTTTGACACGGAAAACATTTCTCTTCAGTGCCACCCCCCGCCATAAATAATGACCTGTCCCTAAGGCATCTTAGAACCGAATCCGCATGAAAGTCAAATATTAATCTTCAAGTCACTAAAACTTTCAAGCGAATGCCAAAAGTTGGTGGAATATATAATACAGGCGTGCGTTTATAATTATCGTTCAAAAAGTCATTAATAATTCCGGAGCAAAACACAAAGAAAAACCATAAGCGTGTCGTGGTTTTACAGTATACCCCCCCCACTCGGTGGGGCAGTGCCCCCCCCACTCGGAAATAAAATTGAAATTATGCCCCCCCTCTTACGTTTTGCAGAACTAATAGCTGTTAATGTGGGGGGGTTTTTTGGCTAAGTACCGAAATTTGATATGAAAAATTGAGATAAAGGACTTGGGAACCAATTGCAATCATGGGCCAAATTCTGAAAATTTTGTGGTTAAGTGATGTTTCGAAAATTTTTGTTAGGTTTCGGAAAAATTTGGTTTGTCGGGAAAAAAATTTTGACCCCTAAAATGGTACACTGACCGAACATCTCAAACCCTCTGTTATATTCTTTCTGCAGTGCCCCCCCAGAAATTGAGAGCCAGCTACGGGCTTGGCTTATAGCCTTATTACAACGATTTGTGTGGACCCTTATGCATGTTCATTAGCGCATGTGCAATTATCCACTTATATAGCGTTCTTCTATAATATATTTAAGGCAAATATAAAAAGACCTCCCTCTCCAATTTTTTAAATTTTAAACTTTTTTTATATTTTGACATGAAATATAAA